CTCTCTGCCTCTCCCCAGATTGATTTGGATAACTCTACTGACCATAATCAATATATGATCTAGCTTTATCCAAGTTCGCTCTATATGCCGGGCACATTTTATCTCTCGCTCCATGTGACTCGTTCCTTTGATAAGACCTTTTACAGTTTATGCACCTCATTACTGAGTTGTCACAATCTTTTGCTTCGTGTTCACCACCACAATTATAGCAAGCTTGCTGATTCTTACAATATCTAGCTACGTGACCGAATCTACAACATTTGAAACAAATTCTATTACCCACAAATTCTTCCACATATAAACTTTCACATTCCACCGAAATTCTTCCTTTCCTTATTATATTTCTAAAGGCATCCGACTGAACCTGGAGAATCCAATTCTTTTTCCATGGATTTTTACAGACTTGACTCTTAATAACCTTGATCTCCGCCCTTAATTCGTCATTTTCTCTTTTTATTCCTTCTATCAAACCCTCTTCCTCTATTCCTACATGTACTCCTGTAACCATTATCATTGGGTTATTTTTTCTGACACTTCTTACATCTATTCCTTGTATTTTCCCCATTTCTTCTCTAAGTTTTTCTCTTTGTGTCGGATCTTTGGGAATAATTTTTAATTTCCCATCCTTCATTATTCTGACAGCCTTAGGTGCGCCATCAATTCTATCCAGTTCCACCTTTTTTGCAATTTCTTCTGCAAGAGTTTTCCCCCGCCTTCCATTTTCTTTTGTTACTATAAGCTCTAGTGCGCTAGGCGGAGTAGTCCAGCCTTCACCCCCTATTATTGTTTTCCCTATAACCCCATTCATTCTCACATCTCCATTTGAACTTTCCATACCTCTCATGCCTCTCATACCTCTCATTGTTCCTCCTCCTCTTCCTCTGCCTCTACCTCTCCCCCTAATTACTTGGGAGTATAATCTTCCTTCATTCTCACTGTCACTACTAGACCTATCATCTCTACTTTCATTCCTTTCTTCCAATCCAGCCGCTGGCGATGACAATCCACCCCGGCGGTCAACTCTCTCACTGCTGTTTACATCGTCCTTAAGCCTATGAACATCTTTTTCTCTATATTTACCTAATTCAAATTCTAACCTATGACACTTAAGCTCTATGGCTCTCTTTTCTTCAACCACCTTCACCTGTCTAGCTAGAAGACTCATATGTATAGATTGGACTTCCATTACCGCAGCTTTCACATTTGCTTGATCCCCTTTTGTTACTTGTAGTTTATTCCCAGATTCTCTGGATACTCCCAGTATTATTATATCTAACTGCCTTTTTAATTCTACAATACTGTCGTCTATACTCATCTTCTTCTTTTCCTCTTCTTTTTCCTTCATTTTTTCGAGATTTGTTCTTTTCTTTCTCTCTTCCTCTTCCTTTTTTTCTTGTTCTTTCTTCTCCTTTTTTCTTCCTTATGCTTCTTCTTCCTTAATTCCTCCATGACTATAAGTTCTTCCTCTTCTCTATATGCATCTTTCTTTTTCTTCTGATCCTCATTTTTTGCATACTCCTCTGTGTTTTCCTCCAGTTATCTTTTCATTGTCCCTATCTTGAGTATTATCTTTGTCTTTCCGAAAGTCAACTTTACCTACTCGCTCATCATTTACACTTACACTTGACACTTCTTCGTCACTATCGTCCCAAAACTTCCCCTGTCTCTTTTCACTCCATTCGCTCCATTTTTCCATCGTCTTTGATTCGTTCCTAACTTCTTCCTCAGTAAGTGCCCTTCTAGTATCCATTTTCTCTATTTTCAACTTACTAGTTCCAAACTGTTAATTTCAGTTTATTCAAACCGATTTCACTTTTTCACCTTTCTGTCTCACTATGACTGCCCTACCAGTTCAATTCACTTTCTCTTGTCTCTTCCAATCTGTAACTGTATTACACATTCAAAACACGGTCAATTTTTTTGCTTCTAAAATTCCTGTTAAAAAAGGCCGCAGCTCCGCAGAGACAACGGCCAATTTATCTTTTTCACCCTTTCTATATAATTCGAAACTCAGTCGAAATTTGTCCTTTAATTTTTGGTAAAAAAGGCCGCTGCTCCTTAGAGTCAACGGCCACCTATCTTGGTAACTATCTTCTTTTATCACTTTCTTCTTCTTCTTCTTCTCTTCCTATCTTTTTCTCCCCTCTCCTTTTTCCCACTATTTCTAGGTATTTACCGGAGTGGTGGGTGCCAAATTTCCAATTAACACCTGCCGAAATTCACCTTTTCACTTTTTTATAACTCGGACACAATTTTTTTATAAACCTAACCTTACTTTTATCACTCCTGACAACACGCCTACACACTATGACTACTCATACAAGACTAGTGGGTAGGGACACGAGCGATTTAAGGGCCGAAGCCCGCCCCCCCACCTTTCGGTATTAGGCCGTTTCCCATTCCTCTCCACTATCTACCAAAACCCCTGCCAAGGCAACCCATCCCATCTCCACGTCTCCTAAAACTTAGCGGGGAAAGATATTCACACAACAATTGACAACAAATTATAACACCCGACAATGTCAGCGACTTAACCTATTACAATCTTTTTCTAATGACAATCTTAACCTAGACCTAAAAACTAAAAACACTTTCTGGCAATTTGCCTTACACCAGGGGGCGAGAATACCAGTCAACCCAGGCCGTCCGTAGCATCTCACCCCCCACCTAACCTAACCCTAAATCTAACACCTTAACCTAACGCGTCTCTACCACACAACTCCAGGTCGTCTATATATTTCCTTTCCTTTTCCTTCACTTATCCTTCCACTCACTCTTACTCCTTCCTCACCATCGCCTCCGCCCAGTCCAACACCCCTTGCCACTTCCTTTTTTCAATCTCTCCCAGTCTCGGGGGATAATGACCCAGTTCCCTCTCCAACACTTCCTTTGCTCTACTCCTTCCTGGCAGGAGACAACGCAAGACCACATGGTCCACCGTTTCCTCCTCAGCTCCACACTCACACCTCTCCCCCTCGTCTCCGCCAAGTCTGAACCTCCTCAGATAGGCTCGAAAGTCTCCATGACCCGTAGCCACCTGAGTCAGCTCAAAGCTGGCATCGACTCCTTCTTTATTTACACTATTCCACAGTCCAAAAAGCCATCTCCCCGTCGTTCCCCCTTCCCACTGCCTCTGCCACTCGCTCATTTCCCATTCTCTCCTCCATCTCCTAACCACACTCTTTGACACCCCCTCTACAACCATCTCTATGTCCCGTCTTTGTAGCGTCTTACAATGTCTGTCCACCAGTCTTATTCCATCAGTTGTCCTTGCCCGCCATTCAACTATAATTTTGATGCCCATTTCCAAATTCCGCGCTATTTCCTTCTGAACCTCCCCTATCACCCACCACCTATTCTCATACTTAATAATTTGCCTTACCATTTGTTCCGAATCCGAAAAAACCCTGACCACTTTTCTCCTCCCTCTCCTACGAACCCCTTCTAATATCCCCTGCCAAATTGCCCACCCTTCCAACTCCATATGTCCCATTTCCGTACCTAATTTCGCCCCTCCTACCTCTATCCCGTCATTCACCGCCACCGCCCACGCATAAACCTTATTATTTTCTCTCGCTGACGCATCCACCCACACTCTCACACTCCTCCTGTTCCCCCTGAGTGCTAGGCATGTATCCTCTTATCGCCGGGTGAGGCCTTTCCCCGACATTCATAATACCCTATCATCCCATCTCCTTCTCGTCTCAAACATTGCCCTTGCCTGAACCTCCAAAGGCACACAACCCGCCAACACCGACAACGCCGCTGTTGGCGCGGTTCTGTATGCCTTCGTGATGGCTCTCAGGAAGGGTCGCTCTTTAGCCCTCAATTGTCTCTGTATCCTGGTATCTCGCGCCCTTTCCCCCCAAATCTCTGCTCCGTACAAGACCATCGGGGAAACCACCCGCTCGAAAATCGCCTTCAGGACCCGCCTGCCGCTACCCCACTTCCTTCTCCCGAGGGCAAAGAACTTACCCCCAAGATCCTGGACTCGCGCTCGCTTCTTCTTGACATGCTCCAGCCAAGCCATCTTCCTATCCACATGCACTGCTAAATATTTCACACTCGTTCCAATTTGGATCCTAAATCCCTCCATTGTCACCACGGGCTGCCTAATCTCCCCCCTAGCTGGAACAAACAGCCTCAGTTTTGGCTATGTTATATTCCAGCCGGTTCACCCTGGCCCATTCCTTACACTCCTGCCAAACATTCTCCCATTCAGCCTCCAGAGCCCTCACCGAGCGACCCGATACCACCAATACCTGGTCGTCGGCGTAGGCCTGCACGTGAATCCCCCTTCCCCTGGCTCCTTCCATACTACAAAACCATCCTTCCATGACAAGGAGCCATAGGATCGGGCCCAGGCTGGAGCCTTGCGGACAGCCCACGTCCGAATCCCACTCCCTGCCTTCCACGCACACTTTTCTGCCCCTCATAAATTATTTTACCACTCTTACCAGTTCCTCAGCCACACCTTTGTTCCTTAAGTTCTTTACCACGGATGGAGCCCAAGCCGACCCGAACGCATTCCTAAGGTCCAAGGCAACGACAAGCGAATGCAATCCCTCCCGACGATTCTCAGCGAGTACCTTTACCAGTTCCCCGATGGCCATGACGCAATCCTTTTCCTTCCTAAAGCCGTACTGCATCCCGTCGAAATGCTGTCCAGCCTCCATGTGGTATGAGATCCTCGCCGCTACCAGCCTGTCGAGAACCTTCCCGACCGCCGGCAGTAGCGATATGGGCCTCATACCACCATCGTTCTTCGGGATCCAGACGACTTCTGCCCTCTTCCACACTCGAGGAAAGACTCCCTCCCTGAGACAATCGTCCAACATGTCCCTCCACGTGCCTCCCAGCGCCTCGAATACATGCCTCATGCACTCATTCGGAACGCCGTCTTCACCGGGCGCCTTGTTCTTGCTCATTCCCCCAATCACACCTTCCACCTCCGTGAGGGTGACGGCAAAGTCGTCCTCTGTCCCATCCACCCTATCCTCCTAGTATTCCCTCCTTATTTCCCCGTGCTCCGCCTCATCATCCTCTAATCTGTCCTCTGGAAAATATTTCCTCACCAATTCTTCATATGTTTCCTCTACTGTGCCCGTAAAACTCCCATCTTCCCTTCTCATATTCTCTTTCACTTCTCTTTTCCCCCCCTTAACCCATCTTTTACAAATCTCCCACACTCTATCCCCCATTTCCTCTAATTCCTCCTCCATAGCCTTCATCTTCACCGCCTTAATTTTATGCTTATACGCGTTTGTTTTTACCAAATATTCCCTCCGCAGTCTGTCCCTGTCATCGTCATCGTCACTAACAATTTGGAAATCCTTTCGCGCCCTCCTAACTTCTCGTCTTTCGTGAGTCAGTTCGTCTGTACACCAGTCTTTTAGTCTCCTCCTTCTTTTCTTTCTTTTACTCAATTCTCTCCTGCAGGCCTCCTGCACTGCACCCTGCAGAAGAGCACCCCTTTCCTCTACTCCCAATCGCTGCTGGGCCGGCCCCCGCTCCTCCAAATATCCCTTAATGCATTTTCAAAATTACCCCAATTTACTCCCTTCACCTCGTACCTCCATCTCCCTTTTCCTTTAGCGATTTTTCCAAATTCCACCCCGTATGAGATGTAATAGTGGTCACTCAAACTTTCCTCCTCTCTGTCTACAATTATGTCCTTTACCTTCACCCCTTTACTCAATACCAGATCCACCCAACTTCTCCCCCTATTGGAAGAGAAGCTGGGAGGGTCATCCTGGGAATTCTCAATGTTCCATCCATGCATCACCGTCCATTCTAGAATTTCTTCTCCTCTTTCGTCCGTCTCCGTTCCACCCCATGCTACATTCTTACCATTGAAATCCCCGGCCATCAGAATCCTCTCTCGCCTACTTTCGAGCCACCCCGACAAATCTCGGAATCTCGACTGAGCATTCCGAGCATCAGGGGGCTCGTCATAGACGTTTACCATCAGCATGTCCCCGTCACTTCCTACCCCCTCTAGAACAACCACCATCACATTCTCATAACTAATTTCCCTCCTCATCCACGCCCTTCCCACTCCCTGTCTTATCAGAGTGATAACTTTTACCCGATCCCCAATTCTAAACGTATCATATCCGAAAAACCCTGTAAAATTTTGATACGGTTCCTGAATCATTATCACATCTGGTATTTCACTTTTAATTTTGTCCTGCAACAACATGGTTGCGGCTTTCCCCTTTCCTAAATTTATTTGCAAAATTTTAACATCCATATCCTATTTTTGAACGCGATTTCGCCAAATGCACCTTCATGGCCGGGCAGTCACTGTCCCCCGCGCTATGTTCCCGAACCTTGCCAAACATTTTGTAGCAATTTATGCATTTTCTTGTACTCTGCCCACAATTTTGCCCATCATGACCTCCCCCGCACCTGTGACACACCTCGGCCGCCCTACAATGCTTCGCAATATGGCCAAACCTACAGCAGCGATAACACATCGCCAGCCCCAGGTACTCCTCCACATAGTGCAGCACACTGTCTATATCTACTTTTCCCTTTTTTACAATAATTTTGAAATTTACCACACTCGTTTTTAAAACTATATTCTCCTTCCAATTATTCCTGCAAACCATTCTTTTTACTACCTTCAGTTCCCCCCTCTCCACATTCACACTGCCCTCAAACTCTTAGTAACTTCTCCGTCAGTTCCTGGTCGGTCAGTCCCTTCATCACTCCCGAAATCATCAGAAGCGGCTCTGCTACTTTACTTTCCCTTCCTTCGATTTTATCCATTTTTCCTAATGTTTCCCTTATCTTCCCCCTCTGCTCTTGGTCTTTAGGTACTATGACCACTTTGCCATCTTTTATTTTCCGTACGGCTTGCGGTGCACCCCCAATTTCCTTAACAGAAATCTCTGGCCAGAGCATCCGCAAGCTTTCGGGCATCCTTTTCTTCCTTGCTCGTTATTATCAGAGCCGCTTCCTGAGGTTTTTTTCGGAGGTGGTGTCCTCCATCCTTCCTCTCCCACTACTACTACCCTTCCTTCTATCTTTTCTTTTGTCCTTCCCACTTTACTGACCTCAGCATAGGTCCTACGTCGCCTCCTTACCACCATTTCCTTCCATTCCTCGCTATCGCTATCTTCCGTCATTCTCCCCCTAGACTTTCCTTTTCTACTCCCAATCATACCTCTTTCATTCCCTTCCTTTGCTCTTTTTCCACCATCCTATTCCTTCTTTCCACTCATTCTCCTCTCCAATCCCAATTGCCTCTTCAGTAATCCTATCATTTGGCTTTGTATGTTCACCACCGCCTCCCTCACCATCATCTGATCGGTCCTCGTGAATGCCAATTTTCCACCATGTTCCTTCCCTGTTGCCTCCATAATCTTCGTTAACTCTTTCTGTACCATGTCTATGCCATCCTCTTCTGCTTTTTTCTTTTCAGTTTATACTCTCTTCATTTCCTCTCGTTCCTTACGCTTTTGCTCCTCTAGTTTTCTCTCTATCTCTTTCTGTCTTTCACTTTGCCTCCTACTTTTCTCTTCTTTCTCCGATCTTCTTTTCAATTCTGCTTCCACGCTTTGCTTTTCTTCAACACTCTTCCTCTCTGACTGAACCTCTTCCTCTAGTCTTCCACTTTTCCTCCTCAGTCGTACCGGTTCTTCTGACGTCTCCCCTTCATCCTCTCTCTCTCTCTCCTTGCTTTTCCATTACCAACTCTCCTAATCTCACCGTTAGCGCTTTTCCTACTTGTTTCCCTTCGTCCGTGGAGCCTACCTCCATTGAATTATAATGTTCATCGCCACTGGAGAGGCCAAGATACTCCTCCGTATTCATTCCGCGTTTTTCCCTAATATCTGCCGAAATGTCAATTTTGACAGCTGTCACTTTGACAGATGACAGCTGCTAGTTTCCAGAAACTCCCTCCCAAATATCAGTTTATAAGTCCCTTTTATGCCCGAGTTACAACTAAAATTTTGAAAATCCTGACAGCTGTCAAAAACCGTCCCTACCAAAAGATAGTCTCCTATTTCGAGCACCCACTCCCGCTTTTAGTTTTTCCAAATTTTTTACCGTTTTCTAGTTATGGCCAAAATTCAATTGTTTTTGACAGCTGCCAAAATCCGAGTGTGCCTAAACGTTGGTATATGTCTATTTTCTACTTCCCCAATCTCAAAAATTCAAAGTTTTATTCTCTTTTACCAAACTGTCACTTTGACAAGTGTCACTTTGACAGCTTTTGTTTTTTACAATTTTCTAATTGTTGGCACCTTCAGAACTTTCCTGTCTATCGTTACCTTTTTTATAATTTTTATCCCCTTTTTTCCTAAAACTTCTCCGCCACTGTCCTCTCACCTCTCCAAGAACCTCTTCTGCTGCTTGCAGACCTCCTCCTGAGTTCAGGGACAACCCTCTCGATTTTTAATAATTTTTTATCCCCTTTTTTCCTGAAACTTCTCCGCCACTGTCCTCTCACCTCTCCAAGAACCTCTTCTGCTGCTTGCAGACCTCCCGAGTTCAGAGACACCCCACTCGACTCTTTTGGATAGAGCCCTCGGCCTTCGGTAATCCACCCCAATAGGGCTCTGCCCCTTTTTCGCTTTAATTAGATTTGATTTGCAAATTTCTAACCCCACTTTCTGGAGCTATCACACACACGCCTGCTCTGTTCAACGATCAGATCACTAGTAGTGGGTAGGGACACGATTGGATGGGCCGAGACCCGACCTGCCCACCTTGCGGTATGAGGCCAGTAGGGTAAGTTGGAGAGTTCTAATCC